TGTGTATCTGAAAATGCACATACTTTAGTATTTAATGACTAAAATACCAATTTTTAAGGAACATTATAAAGACCGACAGACTTCAAATTCAACTCTGACATTTCTACAAAATAGGAAGCTAATTTTCCCTCTTGATATTTGAGGACTAACTCAAAACTCAGGTATAAGCCTGGGCAATGCACAGAAGGGCCGAGGTTTAGTGAGCTGGCAATGTACCTTGCTCATGCCCAAGCTTTCTCATTATGAAACACAAATTAATGCAACAGTTTCTCTACTGCAGTCAGAAGGTATCAATGAGGGAAGAAAGCAGGATTGTGTCAACCTTGTTCCAGCTGATTGGGATAATCTGCAAGTTATTGCATAAAAAAAAAAAAATCAATAGCTGTGTACTTACCAAACCAAATCAATGCTTGCAGAGCTGGATTTTATAGCAGGTTAAATTTAGAACACAGGAAAAAAAGAAAAAAAAAAAAATCAAGGCTCAAAGTCTTTATAACAATGGTCTCTAATCCTAATTCTCCAATCCAAGCTGTTCAAAAGAAACATCTTTTGATGTGGTGGGTCAGAATCCAAAAGGACATATTTGAAGTCTACCAAGCCTGGCCAAGTCCTTTTTATGGCTATTTTAGAGAGCTAAGATGTCTTTATCACCTGAAGTTACAGATATTTACAATCTGACGACCAGATTCTGTCAATATAAGAAGCTGTTGTTAAAAAGGGGTCATTATTGAAGAAATTTTACCAGTAAGGGAGAAAAGAATTCCAGACATTCCTACACTATACAGGACATTTTATACTTCCAGTAGTAAGTACAAAACTTTACATAATTAACCCCTCTTGCATAGAATGAGGTAAACCTGTGCATATTACCAATACTACGTACCCAAAGTTAGAGCAAGATTTTAGAAAATAATCAAATTGCTGGTTTTCAACTTTCTATGCACTTTTTTTTTTAAGCTCAAACAACAATATACAAAAATGGTCTCCCGGGGCTCTGTGGGTTGATATCCCTAAAGCATTTCTAGGCTACAGGAATACAGACGTTAATCATTTTGCTTACATTTTTTTTCTTTAAGCCCTAATTTATGGTCAAGAGTCAGATGATCATTGTACTGCTCTGAAGGGGACCTGCTAAGACCCAGAAGCACTTATAGAACATATGCAGTTAATTCCTGAGAGTTTAGTTAATGAACCTTACTGGTAAAAGCTAAAGCTCTTGATGCACGTTTTTCCAGTCACAGCTCTGCAGGGCTGATTAACCATTTTACTAATCAACTCCATGGATGAGATCATTTACAAAAACGTACAAAGTTTAAAAATATGGAAAGATAGAATCCAATACTTTGTATTTTACTGGTAGTCATTTTCCCACCCTTTTGCATGACTTGTCTTCAAAAAAATGGGGCCGGTTAGGCAGGTGAGGCTAATGGGATACTTGGAAGTGAGACACAAGGATTCCAAGCAAGAAGCAAATCCAGTTTATGAATTATATACTAGACAGTATATGATTTATATACTGTTCTCAGGTCTCAACTTCCATATTACACTATTGCAGCAAGAACAGAATATTTCAAGGCTGTGCAGAACTGAACTCATTTTTAATCCACAACGTACAACTCCTTCTAGCTTACCTGAAACCACATGGAACAAAGGTTTTGAATGTTCACAAATAAACATTTAAGATGGTAAGGAGACAGCTAGGTCTTTCTGAATGAAGGAAAACAAATAATTAGGAGAATACTCAGAAGTTCCTTCCCACCACCAAGGGAGGCCTGAGTCCCTATCCACCTAAGTTTCTTCTTTAGTCAAAATTCATAGCTAAAAGTAATCTGCAAACAAGGGAGTTTTCTGAAGTTCCAGTTTGGCATAGGGCTCTGTAAACATTTGCTGAAGCATTTCAAGACTACAGACATTCATGTACAGACAAGAGCTTTGTAGTCCAAATCCAATGCCCACTGCAGTCAGTGGAGACAAGGCTACTGATATTTATGGGCACTGAATCAGAACCTAAGAAACATTTTAAAAAGAAAAAAAAAAAACACCACCAAAAAACCCACCCCCAAAACCTTATATAAAAAATGTATTTTAAAGTAAATAAAAATATCTTGAAAAGTCAAAATCTTCCTCAGGCGATGGCTCCATTGCAATTGGGGCTACTCACTGAGTAGAGCTTTATAGGACTATCTTCCACATACAATTTATGCCTCTAAGTTAGGGCTTAAATGTCTTTTTTTCACAAAAACAGAGGCGTGACCAGTGCAGTTCACAAGAGTCTAGAAGTCTCCCAACTTGTACCAAAAAGGTTCATTTGTTATGACAGTTCATTTGTATTTGCAACTATATCTTCCTCCAACCGCTTCCCACAATCATGCTAATTAATCTTTAATCTTACCAAAAAATTAGAATTTCAGTTCTTGTTAACAATGCACAATAAATCTGAACTTGAAAATATTACAAAATTCTTTCAAAAGCTTCAAATACAACACAAAAGTGTCCATTTTTTGTTTTTTAATAAATTGAAAAATCTTTTTCACTAAAATAGTTTCCCCGTCCTTCCAAAAAATTCTGAACTGAGTCTAACTCATCTACAGTTAGCAAAGTGCCCCAGGTACAGTCACCTGAACTGTACTGTCCAAGTGGGAACAAAATCAGTCAGTCTTGGAGAAAGGCTCTTTTCATGTCACCAATACTCTGCCCCTCACTCTTCTGAGCTGCATTAGGGTTCCTGTTTGATGTAGTAACTGGCAGATCCGTTGCTTTCCTGATCAGAAGCTCCCTGAAGGAAGCTGTACTCTTCTCCATCTAGCAGTTCGTCCTTCAGCTGCAATGAAGTCACTAAAAATAAAAGGCAAACATTAAAGATCTAAAGAATCCAAAGCAAGCACAACTTGTCCTTAAATTTGCTTAATCTTATTTAAATTGGAAACAGACCCCAAATTTCCTATTTTCTTATATTCTGCATTTAGTGACTCTTAACACTCAGTATCCCACACAAAGAAGATGCTTTTTGACTGTAAACTGAACCTTAAGTTATGCTCTAATATTCACATATTTGAACAAATTACAATAATGTATTGTCTAGAGTTTTTGCAAGAATTTTGTATGTTAAAACACTGTTTTACAAAGGTAACTGGACCTGTTAATAGGAATAACAACTGTTTCTCAGAACAACACTTATTTTACTGTTGACTCTTGCTTACTGTTTACTTCCAATTTAATCATAATGCAAGTAAAATTAAGATTAATTGTTGGTCATGTACAATCTATAATTTGCATTACTTAACACAACTACTGTAAACAGTCTAAGTGAGACAACAAAACACAATGACAAAGATTTCTCAATACATCATTAACATTAAGATCCCAGAAGGTAAGTTTCAATCAAGCAAAACATCTCTTTTGTAGTGATAATCTTCTCTCTTCTTTCTTTTGTAAACACAAAATAGAAATGAGATCTAAGGCATAAAAAAAGATGTTATGAATAGCAATAATGTCATAATTACTTTTCCAGTTTCATTAATGAATAGTGAAAATTATCAAAATATGGGCACAATGAAAAGAACACCGAAAACAAAACATGTTCAGACTTTCATTAAAGGTGCAGTACCCACATTATAGGGTTGATTATACAAAAATAAATGGTTCTCCATGACCAAATGAATGAGAAAGCTTTTAGCTACTGAATACAAAGCTTCTAGGCATTATTGATGTATCTTGAAATGCAGAAATATGCAGTGAAAGCAGAATACCCTACCCCATAGCCTATTGCTATTAGTAGCCCTGCAATAACTTAAGCTATTTGATTATTCTTTTATTTTCCTATGTCATCTTCAATGTTGAAAAACTTCTGTGCCAAACAAAAACAAAATTTGAAATTGAAGATATTAGAAAATGTCCAAATTGGCAGCATAGTACATGCTCTCATCATTTCTTTCATAGGTGCCTCTTCCCACCTACCTAGCCCACAATCTCGTTTCTTTTTTTTTTCCCTGAATACTTTTCCTGGCATCATGCCTAAATACAATCAAGAATTTTGACCTGTGGAGGACAACAAAAGTGCTGTCTAGATGATAAGACACATAATTGTTACTTGGATATACTACTAATGCCTTAAGCAAAGGCTACACAGCAGTCAGGGATCGACTCTTAAGTCCAACAGGTATATTCTTTTTCTTCTCTCCTCCCACTACTTGTAGAACGCTTCTGTAGGTACCAGAGTAATAGCAGTCTTCATAATTTGGCTTGCCTCTGGCTAATTTGAACCAAAATCCTTACCTTTAAATGTCTAGTGATAGTTTGCTGTCCCTATTGCACAGCTTTCAACTGAGATCTTCCGTAAGGAAAGCTCAGCTACAGCTATTCAACCAAAGTTACTTGCAGGAAGAATAAAGTAAGCTAATGTTAGCCATCCAACTGATCACCCTGGAAGTGAAAGGGATGCAGATGTGCAAGGTACTCCCTTTCAAAAGATAAACTGTCTCATGCAATGCCACTGAAACCTTTGAAATGTCAACACAGAATGCAGCAATGCTGTCCAGAGTACGTGCAGAAACAGGGTGAGTCTCTCAGAGCAGTCTCCTGACAGGCTGGCTAGAAGCTCTTTATAAAAGTGAAGCTGTCCAACAGCTGCATTTCAGTGTTCACCAGATCATTTCACATGGCTCAAAGATGCAAACTACTCATGTACACTGGAGAAGTGCTGTGACTCTGCTAGAGAGCAAAAATACTTCACCCCGTGGAAGATGGAGAACTGAAACCTCCTCCTGTGCTTCTGACAGTGCAAAACAGGCAAGAGTTGTTTAAAGGGTCTTACTTAGATCTCCAATAGACAAGTTTTAGAGCAGATGCCCATCTCATTACCAATCTTACACCACTTCCATTCAAAGCCATATGAGCATCTCCTACAACATGCCTACATCCTAGTGACAGCTCCTGCAGCATGAGGCAGTGCACAGTGCTGAGGGATTCACAGGCAGTTCAGAAATTCCAGCTGATCTCAGATGTCTTAACCTACTACGTGCTATCAGGGTTACATCTTCCTCTGCCCCAGACACAGGGTGTGGTCTTGCTGTTTTTCATTTAAATACCTTTGGACAACAACAGAGCTATACCCTGAAGAGAAATACTTTTGTCCAGCCTCTCCCAAACTGAGAACTTGGATAAGTTCCCCCAAATTGGTCACAGAAAGCACTGGGTGTCAGGAACCAAAGGAGTGGTGTTTTGTAGGCTCTCAGACAGGTAATTAAACAAAACTCTGTGAATGCCTGTACACTAAATAAATGCAATTTAGGTGTAGTATACAGTAAGAGAATAAAAGTTGTGCAGAAACACACACTCTAGAACATTCTTTCCTATGCAAGGCTTCTCTTCTGCAACAAAGACTCCTAAAAGACAGGCACACACACGAGCAGCAAGCTGGAGTGAAAACAAAGGTGTTCTTGAGAAGGACTGAAAGGTGTGCAGGAGAGAGTCAGGATTTGTGCTGGGGGTTTAAGGGCAGCAAGTTCCTGTGCCCCATTCTGCTAATGGGTAACACATGGACAAGGGAAACTGCTCTGGGTGCATCCCCAGCCAGTGCAAAGTGCCAGCACAGCCACCTTCTCAGGCTAAAGCAAACTTAAAGGAGTGTAAATAAAGCAGCTCTGAAGCCAAATCTGCCAACCTGGCAACTGCCCTTGGATTGCATCATCCAGTTTCCCTGACAGATCATACTGCCACAAAATATCTGTTAGGAATAATTTGTTTACCTGCTACATTATATTGCCATACATAATAGGAAAAGGGAAGAGAAAAAACTATCAGATCCTTGTAGTGGACTTCTAGAACTAAAGATTGATCAGATAACAAACTATCTTTAAGTAAGCTCAAAATTTTCAGCAAATTGCTCAATATTACATCATACAGATGCAGAATTATACTGTTGATACTCAAGTATCAACAAAGTATCAACCAAACCCAAGTCTTTCATCAAAAATAGCGAAAGAT